CACACACACACACACACACACACACACACACACACACACACACACACACACACACATCTGATACTGTAATGTTTACATCTCCATTATTGCTCTGACGGCTGTTGTTGACACGGACTGTGAGGGAAGTGTTCGTGTCTGCTTTATATCTGACTGTAATAATCTTTAATAAAGCTATAGATGTGTCTGCTGTGGTGACTCGCTGATGTTTGTGAGTGAATGTTGATCTTGTGAAGTGTTAGCGCGGCTAGCCGCTAGCATGCTAAAGAAAGCGCGTGAGTTTCCCGCCGGTGACTGGCAGCGGCTGTCTCTTACCTGACGCTCGCAGAACGACTGACGCGCCGCTTCGACGCACTAGAATCGCAGAAATATGAACATGATCTGATGATGATGATCGCCGCTCTGATGTCAACACAACCTGCGCCACATCCGGGTCACCTGTGCGCCAAACACGATCACTTCCTGTTCAGATGCAGGATCGGTCCAGCATTATTTAAAGAAGTGCACTTTAATTAATTCGTCCATCTCTACATGTTCTGACAAATAACAACTGCCCGTTTATTTATTTTATTGTAACATAATAAATAAAATATCATTTATCTTCATAATAACAACACAGTAATGAACAGAAGTATGTAGTAATGTAGAAGTAATTACAGATTGTATGGAAAATTCCTTTATAATATAATATAATCTAATTTCAACATTTCCGCTTTAATTCAACTCTCAATTTTCATCCATCATTAAAGATTAAGTTAAAGTTCTTCTATTGTATTATATTTGAGATATGAATGAGATCTCTCTGTTCATCTATGCATTTATAAGTTCTGCAAAAATTAATTAAAATAATCTATAAAAAAGAAGAATGAATTATTATTTAATCCTAGCACATTCTTTAAAAAAAATACATATTAGTTAAATGTTAATTTGTAAATGTAAATATATATTTAACCTAATAATAATCATAATAATAAATTATTATTAGTAGTAGTAGTAGTTGTATGGCTGGCTGTGTTGCTCTGTGATGCTCTTATGTTCTTTTATGTTTTAGGATGAGGTTAAAATGGTTAATAAAAGAGTAAGTGTGATTGATCAAGAGTTTCCAAGACAGCAGGATATCAGTGAAGAAAGAAAGAAAGAAAGAAAGAAAGAAAGAAAGAAAGAAAGACACAAAGACACTAATTTGAGTGTTTCATGTGTTTATATCTTATATGTCACAGAAATAGTGTTAGTGTGTGATCAGATATAATCAGATTTTATAAAATATATCAAATGCATATCAAATGCATACTGAATAACACCATCAGGTGCTGTCAGGTGTTTCATGGATATTAGTGATTAACAGTAGTTTGAGTGTTTTCTCTCTCTGTCATTACACGGCAAACATCCTCACTGCAGATGGTTTACAGCAGAATGGATTGCTTTGTTTCTGACGGTTGCATCATCAACACTGTTATTTTCCTGTTATTACAGTGAAGATGCTTTGAAACAATCTGTATTGTATAAAGCGCTGTAGAAATAAAGCTGAAGTATGACTATAAACATTAAATCACAAACACTGACCGTGATCATGTAAATATGAACGTTGTGTTTTGTTTTCTGTTGTGGTGTTGTGTGTTGTGTGGTGTGTTGTGTTCTGTGTTCTGTTCTGTTCTGTGTTCTGTGTTGTGTTCTGTGTTGTGTCCTGTGTTGTGTTCTGTGTTGTGTTCTGTGTTGTGTTGCATTGTGTTCTGTGTTCTGTTCTATGGTGTCTTCTGTGTTGTGTTGTGTTGTGTTGTGTTGTGTTGTGTTGTGTTGTGGTGTGTTCTGTGTTGTGTTGTGTTGTGTTCTGTTCTGTTCTGTGGTGTGTTCTGTGTTGTGCTGTGTTGTGTTCTGTGTTCTGTTCTGTGGTGTGTTCTGTGTTGTGTTGTGTTGTGTTCTGTGTTCTGTGTTCTGTGTTCTGTGGTGTGTTCTGTGTTGTGTTCTGTGTTCTGTGTTCTGTTCTGTGTTGTGTTCTGTGTTCTGTTCTGTGTTGTGTTCCGTGTTGTGTTCTGTGTTGTGTGTTGTGTGTTGTGTTGTGTGTGTTGTGGTGTGTGTTGTGTTCTGTGTTGTGGTGTGTGTTGTGTTGTGTGTGTTGTGTTGTGTTGTGTTGTGTTCTGTGTGTTGTGGTGTGTTGTATTGTGGTGTGTGTTGTGTTCTGTATTGTGTTGTTGTATGTTGTGGTGTGTGTTGTGTGTTTTGGTGTGTGTTGTGTTCTGTGTTGTGTTGTTGTGTGTGTTGTGTGTGTTGTGGTGTGTGTTGTGTTCTGTGTTGTGGTGTGTGTTGTGTTGTGTGTGTTGTGTTGTGTTGTGTTGTGTTCTGTGTGTTGTGGTGTGTGTTGTGTTGTGTTCTGTGTTGTGGTGTGTGTTGTGTTGTGTTGTGTTGTGTTGTGTGTTGTGTGTGTTGTGGTGTGTGTTGTGTTCTGTGTTTTGTTGTTGTGTGTGTTGTGTGTGTTGTGGTGTGTGTTGTGTTCTGTGTTTTGTTGTTGTGTGTGTTGTGTGTGTTGTGGTGTGTGTTGTGTTCTGTGTTTTGTTGTTGTGTGTGTTGTGTGTGTTGTGGTGTGTGTTGTGTTCTGTGTTGTGTTGTTGTGTGTTGTGGTGTGTGTTGTGTGTGTTGTGTTGTGTTGTGTTCTGTGTGTTGTGGTGTGTTGTATTGTGGTGTGTGTTGTGTTCTGTATTGTGTTGTTGTATGTTGTGGTGTGTGTTGTGTGTTTTGGTGTGTGTTGTGTTCTGTGTTGTGTTGTTGTGTGTGTTGTGTGTGTTGTGGTGTGTGTTGTGTTGTGTTGTGTTGTGTGTGTTGTGTTGTGTTCTGTGTTGTGGTGTGTGTTGTGTTCTGTTGGGCGGAACTAATGTGCGCGCCGCTGTTTCCGGCAGGGCTGTTTTTCCGGCAGCGCGTGACTGTGGCAGTTAAACATGTCGAGTTCCTACAAAAACAGGTGAGAAACACAATCAACACGCAACAAAAGCGCCTTTTCATTCAGACACACACACTTTACCTCATCGACATTCGCTGCAGAGAACATTTACAGCAGACGCGCGAAGGAAGCGTGCTGACACCGCTCAGGAGTGTGTGTGTGAGTGAGTGAGAGAGAGAGAGAGAGAGAGTGTGTGTGAGAGAGAGAGAGAGAGAAGAGGGTGTGTGAG